TGTCAGAATCGTCTCAGAGGCCAGTCTGGGCACCTAACAGGAATGAAAATCTTCCTTTTCCTGGAAAAAAAAAAAAAAAAAGCCCAGTGAAGGCTCAGATGTAACTCCTTTACTTAGATTTCCTACTAAAAACTTTGATATGGCTCTAGTCAAAGTTTACCTTCATTTTAAAAAAGTTACTTGGGATAAGCTAGCTGAGGTTAACAAAGAGAAGCAAGAAACACTTAAGTTAGATTTCTTAGAAGAAGAAAAGGAGTAATGGAAATAAGGTCTGGTGTTGGGAGGTCTAGTTTAGTAGGGATTCTGCTACTAAAAGTTATGTGAGTTTTTATACTTAGTCTCTCTACTAGGGGCTCAGTTTTCTCACTGAAAAGTAATGATGTTGGACAAAATATCTAAAGACCCTTTCAGTTTTGAATTTTTTAAAATTTAGGCTTTCTCATATACTGCTAGTTGGAATATTAGCAAGTTTATGAGATATGCAGACTTTGAAGTTAGACTTGGATTTCAAATCATTTACTTACTTCTTAACAGTCTAAGTTCAAAGACAAAACTTTTCTGTTGTTTGTTTTCTTATCTTTTAATATAAGTCATAGATACTTCCTGAGGTGTTTGTGAAGACTATAAATTTATAATACCTAAAGTACAGCATAGAGTTAGGTCAGTGAAACAGTAGGTATTACAGTTTTCTTTCAGGAACTTGGCAATATGTATTGAGAGCTATAAAAATATGCATTCTTTCACCTAGGAAATATACTTCTAGAAATATTCAAAGCAAAAATGTAGCATAAGGATGTTCACAATAGTACTGTTATTTATAATAGTAAAAAAAAAAAAAACAAAACCCTGGAAATAACCTAAATGTTCAAAAATAGGGGACTAGTTAAATAAAATATGATCAATTTTTATGATGGAATACCACAGAGATCAGACATCATGTTGAAAAATTATTTAATGAGATGGAAAAATGCTTGTGATATTTTCTTTAAAGCAAAAACTGTGGGTTAGTTCTAGTTCTGGCGAATGGCAGATTAGATAACCTATTTTAAAGACCTGAAGAGGTTTCTGGGTTACTACAAATGGTCAAGTTTAACAACTAGAAACTTTCAAAAGACACCAAGTCCAGCTGGCAGTTAATGCTTATTATTTAATTATTATTTAACTAAGAGAAAAAAATCAGTTTGCTGGTTTTGCAACTGGAGTTCTTGACAAAAAGGAAAAAAATGTATTTCCCTGATTAAACTACGAACTTAAAGCATTAATTAAAATGTAAGTCAGTGTCTCAAAGTTCTTAAAATTATTAAGAAGGAATTTTTGTTTCTACATAAAGTAGTTGTGTTTATATTGATAAAGTAAATACATTAATATTCTATTTCATAAGAATATTTGATTTATAACAATATATTGACTGATTACAAGAAATTCAGAACTAAATAGGGATTATTTAAACGGCAAACTGTTCCTTGTGATAATTTGGACCCAGTTTATGTTAAACATCAAAGACAGCAATGAGGAATAGGAAATTTCTGGTGGATCATGTAATCAAATAAAAAATGCCTGTATAGGTGAGCAGAAGTGATATACTGGAATGGTGGAAGATCTCTCTTAACATGAAATCTCCATGGAAGAGAAAATTAAATTAGATCGTTTACTGAAGAGTTTACCATACAGCTGGTATTTTAGCGGCTGGAAGGTATTTCTTAAAACGTGAAAAAAAATCTCTATTGAGACAAGACTGCTAAGTTAATAGGAGACATTTAAACATGCATGATAGCAGTTCCTACATAAGGAGGGCATAAAGTGCTCAGTTTTCAGCTGGAAACATCACTGCTTCTTCCCTAAGGAGAGGTTCTGGTCTCTCTTTCAATCATTACAAGGGCTTCGGTATGGAGGGTGGGCAAAGCATCCTGTGCAAGGAGCAGGGGAGGCAGGCAGACTTATTGGTGAAAAGTTCAGTGTTAGCCGAGTGCTGTAATTTCCTAGTGGAACACTTCCTCTTAGAATGGAAAAGGAATTTCACACTACTCTCTGAGGTCTTGGCGGAGACCTCGAAGACTGGGGAGGGGGGTCAAGGGCGGGGAGTGGGGTGGGCAGGGCTCCAGTCTCCACCCTTCATTTTTACTGACATTGTACTTCTATAGGTTTGATGTGAAGAAAAAGTTTTGGTGCTTAAAAAGAGGTTTGGAAGACACTTATTAATGGGAGGGAAGGAAGAAAAATGGGGAAATAGGTGATAAAACTGAGAGGATAGAAGAAAAAGACTAGCCTTCTCTGAGATTCCTCTTAACTGGTCTGTGCTCTCCTCTAACTATAACTCTGAGCCTCGACTTAATCTTGTTTACGGTGCAAACTCTGCCAAGAATTCATTAGACAAGTTGGCACAGCTGACGTAAAGAGAGGTTTGAAGGAGACTGTACCTCTGCCCTCAGGGAAAGTCCAGGTCAGTAGGGGAGAAATACAGAAACCTACAGTGACTCTGGAGAGCATGTGTCACACGACAAAGTAGAAAGCCTCTGTCAGGCTATTCTGCTCATCTGCTTCTACAGCCCAAGTCCCACCTCTTCCATGAGACTTCTCCAGCCCCGCAGCTCCCACGGTGGCACACTATGTCACGCACTACACAGCCTTGGACAGTGCCTGGTAGGTAGGCTGCAGGTGCTCACTAAACATGTGAAATGATTCTTAGGTATATGTTTTTTATTTCCATTTAGACTATAAGCAATGGAGGACAAGGGTCATCACATTTCTGTCTCTTCCTTATTACTGAAGGAATTGAAGGCATTCAATAAATATTTGAATGGGAAAAATCGAGTGTCACCAGAAAAAAAAAAGAAACTCGTGAAAAGAATAAACAGAAGAAGAGTTACAGAATATATAAAAACTAGGGAATAACATTACTATAAAATATGAGTGGAGACAGTTTGGGTAATGTGACGTGGGATATATTTAACTGTATTTGTGGTCATTTTTATTAGTGAGTAAATATGACCAGAGATAAATCAATCTTGGTTTAGGAATTCCCTGACATCAGGAATTTATTAGGCTGGGGAAAGAATACTTATCCATCAATTTGGAAAAACCATAATTCCTCAACATCTTTTCTGTGTTCATACTTCTGTGTAGAACTGCCAAGTTCTGGAATTGGAAGAGACCTAAAGATCTTGGATGGAGGACACTAATGTCTGACAAGATGAGGGACCTGTCCTCGTGTCCTGTCCACACAGCCAAAGCCAGAACCCATGACAGGTTCCAGGTGGACTACTGTCCCTACTGATTCACACTGTAAGGAAATCTGGTTTGAGTTTGAGGTGCTTTTTCACGTCTATAGAAACAGTCAGTTAACCATCAGGCTTTACCACTGACATTCTTCTGAGTTGGCTTTAATCAGTTGATAGATAATCTTAAAGCAGCTACAGGTAAGAGAGCTTTCTAGGATGAGCACAACTAATCTACCACTATTAAACTAAAGCCAAATTTCATCAGCAGAAACTACTAAAACTTAAATTTTTACAAAGCCCAAGTTTGAAATATAGTTATTTAAAAATGAAGGCTTCTGATTATCTGTGTTTTCTAAATGTTAAAGTTTAAACATATTTAGAAGTTAAATGTTATATTCAGAAGTTTAAAAAAGGGAACATTGGCATTCCCACATTTAGTATCTTTGACTAGTCTACATTTTTTTTGACTAGTCTACTTTAGTACTTAAAAATATCAATTTTAAATTGAAGAGGGAGAGGAAAATGCTTAGTTCCAGGCCCTTTTCTAAGATCATTCACTCTGTTCTATGAATCTCAGACTTCCACTACCACTAACTAAGGAACTATGACTCATCCAGACTTAAACCAGTAGCATGACAAAGGTCAGAGTTAGCTGAAACCTAGCTCTAACACTTCTCATTTCGGCACCTTATTTCTTGCTTCATATTCAAACTGATGATGGGTAAATGTGCAAAAATGGCCTCCCTCTGATTAAGAGAACTGTGTCTAACAGATCATCTCAAGATATGGATTTGTGACTTTAGTGCTGTATCTTCAAAAAAAGAACAACTTAAGAAGATTGTAGAGGCTGCTTGATAATTTCATGATGGCCTGATGTACAGTCTTGTCTCAGGAGGTGAAAGGACAAGGAAAGGAGTTAAAAGTGGGTCAGTGGGTGTGAAGGAAGAGTGCTCCCTGTACCCATAAACCAGTGCTGACCAACAGAGATCTCTGTGAGGGTGGCACTGTCTTTCATACCATCCAGTATGGTCACCACTAGCCACATATGGCTACTAAGCACTTAAGAACTACAAGTGAACTGAATTTTAAATTTATTTAATTTTAATATATTTTAAATTTCAATAGTCACAGGGGTTAGTGGTTACTATGCTGGACAGTGCAGAGCTAGATGTCTTTTTAATTTAAACTGTTGTTCTCAAAGGTTAGTATAAATTTAACTATGTGAGTGTCTACTGAGTGTTAGGAACTGGGGATATAAAGTGAATTCAGCACAGTTCCTGCTCTCAGGGAGCTTGCACGCTGGTGGAAAAGAGAGAAATAGACAATGACATTATGCTGTTAAGTGCCTTAAGATCACAGAGAGATGGGAAGTTTACTATGGAATCACAGAGAAGAGAGTCCTAATGGGTCAGTGGTATCAGGGAAAAGAGGAGGTGAGGTACAACGCTGAGTGTTAAAAGATAAACAAGAGTTAGGAGTGAGGGTAGACTGCAGACATGGCTAAGCAAAGAGCTGAGGAACGAAGGAATGTGCAGGAAAGAACATATGGTTGAGTGTGGCTGAAGTATAGACTGAGGCAGGGAGAAGTGTTGCGGACATCAGATCACCAGGGCTCTTACACATCTTATTGGGGGACATGAACTTAATCCTGTAAGTGGCAGGGAGCCGTCAA